ACAAAGTATATGTGAACTGCTGTATGGAAAGTGAATTTGCTCTGTAAATCTTCACCCAAATAAATAAATAAATAAAAAGGGAAAAAAGAAGAAAAAGGTATTTGTGATGAATAAGTCGTTGGTCTTGCAAAATCCTATCATGTGATCGCCAGTGTTATTTCTATCACCAAGGGTATATTTTCCAACTACTGGTGATTCTTCTTTGTTTCCAACTTTTGCATTCCAGTCACCAGTGATAATGGACACATCTTGATTGCATGTTTGGTCAATTTCATACTGCAGAAGTTGGTAAAAATCTTCAATTTCCTCATCTTTTGGCTTTGGTGGTTGGTGCGTAAATTTGAATAATAGTATTAACTGATCTTTTTTGTAGGCGTATGGATATTATCCTATCACTGACAGCATTGTACATCAGGAGAGATCTGGAAACAGTCTTTGTGACGATGAATGCCACACCATTCCTCTTCAATTTGTGATTCTTGGCATAGTAGATATATGGTTGTCTGATTCAAAATGGCCAAAACCAGTCCATTTCAGCTCACTGATGCCTAGGATAATCGATCTTTATGCATTCCATTTCATCTTTGACAACTTCCAATTTTCCTAGATTCATACTTCGTACATTCCATGTTCCGATTATTAATGTATGTTTGCAGCTGTGTCTTCTCATCTTGAGACATGCCGCATCAGCAAATGGAGGTTCTGAAAGCTTTAGACTGTCTACATCATTAAAGTTGGCTCTACTCTGAGGGGGCAGCTCTTCTCCAGTCATATTTTGAGCGCCTTCTACCTGAGGAGCTCATCTCCTGGCACTATATTGCACAATGTTTCAGGGCTATTCATAAAGTTTTCCAGTAATACATCAGACAGTGTTTCACTGCTATTCATAAGGTTTTCACTGGCCAGTTGTTTGAGAAGTGGATGGCCTCTTCCTTCTTCAGAGTCTTAGTCTGGAAGCTCCACTGAAACCTGGGTTATCCGGTAGCATTTGAAACACTGGTGGCATAACCTCCAGCCTCACAGCAACACTCAAGCCACCACAGTATGACAAAATGACGGATAACTTTGTCTCTCTTAGCTGTTCAAAACTACTTCGCTTATTTCCTCATCTCTCCTGCCCTGCTCGCTTACCCAGACTGTGCCCCCCCTCAGCCCCAGGGTGCTCCACTCATAGACACCCACCTTATGCTGGTCCCTGCCTGGCTTACTGCAGCCTGCCCCATAGGCACTCGCTTCTTGCACACGGACACCCACTTTTCACTGGTCCTGGGCTGGCTTACGAGATCTTACTTAGAAATTTCAAATATTCAAGTTCATCACTTACAAGTTCTGTCTTCCACCAAGCACTGGAACATAATTCTAATAGGTTCTTTGCTATTGCGTATAAAGCATCCATCTACATTCCACCGTTTTCTGATCATATGTTAATCATTTCCTTTAAAGCCTCACTAAACCCACGTTTAACGTCCACATTTCTAGCAACATTCTATAAAATGGTGCCCTGTATATTCTTTAAGATGATAGAGACTTTCTCTCTGGCTCTCCTCACTTCCTTCTGAGCCCTCACTAGAACTGCGTTTGACATCTATAATTCTGTCAATAGTCTCTTCAGGGCAATCTGGGCTTTTACTATTAGACATCTTAAAATTCTTCTAGCTCCACCCATTACCCAATTCCAAAACCACTTCTACATTTTAGATATTTGTTGGAGTAGCATCCCACTCTCTGGTATTAAAATCTTAGTTATTTGGTGCTGCTATAACAGAAATACCAAAGTGTGTGGCTTTAACACATAGAAATGTATTTTCTCACAATTTATTATAGGAATCTCTAAGTCCAAATTCAGAAAGAATTCTAGAGGAAGGCTTTGTCTCTCTTGTCAACTCTGGGGGAACGTCCTTGCCTCTTTTCAGTCTTGCCTCCTTGGTGATCTTCATATGGCATGAATTTGTCTTCCCCAACTTTGCTTCCTTGTTTAATCTGTTCTCTTATGTCTCAAAAGAGATTGACTTAAAACACCCTACACTAATCTTACCTCATTAACATAACAAAGAACACATTCCCAAATAAGGTTATGTAATCACAAGTATAGAGTTAGGATTTACAAGGCATATTTTTTGGGGACATCTATCTATCTATCTATATACACACACATGTATATGTGTGTGTGTGTGTATATATATATATATATACACACACACATATGTACTATGTGTACATATGTATATGTATATATAGATCACTATATACTGATGTGCACATACAAACAGTGCAACCTATGGGAACTGAATAAGACCACCTTGGCCCCATATCATTAATGAGGCCAGCCTGTAATTTTTGCCATAATATCTTTGCTGTTCTAGTGCTGAAGTTACATAGACTTTGAAAAAGGAGTTGGAGAAATTTTCTGAAATGTTTTGTGTAAGATGGTTATTTGTTTCTTTAAGGTTCAGTTAATTTGATACAATTACAGCCTTCTGAATTTATTAGTTTTTTTTTTTTTTTTTTTACTTTACCTACATAGTGCCTAAGGCACTTGACTGCTAACCAGGAGGCTGGAGGTTCAAACCCACCAGCCACTCCTCGGAAGGAAGGTTGGGCAGTCCTACTTCCGTAGTGATAACTGCCTCAGAAACCCAAGGAGGGGTCGCTAGGAGTCGGGGCCGACTCGATGGCAAGTAACAACAACACTGTTTAAATTTCCTTAATGGCTGTTAGTCTATTCAGGTTTTCTATGGTTTGTGTGAATTTGCTAATTCATCAGTTTCCAGAAAAAGTTCACTTCATCTTAGGTCTTCAGATGTATTGTCATAAAGTTGTTCATTATATTCTTATTTTTAAAATTTCAACTGTATTTATGGTTGGACCCCCTTTTTAATTTCTTACAGTATTTTTATACCCTAACTCCATGTACAGCACAGGCCTGTGGTTGCAAAGGCTCAGAGGAGAATTTATTTTTTCCCAGCTGAGCTTAGGACAAGATAGATACACTTTTTTTTTTTTTTTTTTTTTAATCTCTTTACCTTTTCCAGGCACTTTTTTTTCTGGTGGGCATTAAAAGCCAAGCCTTTATTATGGAAATTTTTATATCTCAATTGGAATGATGGTTTTGCAGATACAGACATTTATCAGACTCATACAACTAAAGACTTAAAAGATCTCTGCATTTTATCAAATGTCAATTATACCTCAGTAATGTTGATTTTTAAAAAGCAAGGCAAAACAAAATCCCTAAGCCCCTCCACTATGCCTGACCGTCATCCCTTACTCTGTCCTCTCAGGGAAGTCATAGCAGTTTAGGGATTTTCAACCTGGTTTTTATCTTTCTATTTGTTTTTAGCCTCTAGGAATTTATCTTACATTTTTATGAGCTCAGTCCTGCAATTTAAAGAACATCTATTACAATTTATGAAGCAATTTTTGGTGTTTGTAGTGGGAAGGTTTCCAGGTAATATAATATGATCCACTTTTTGTGTGTGTGTGTGTAAACCACCAGTCAAGTAAATTAGTAGTTTTGAAACCCACAAGTAAATGTTGGCCTGAGAAGATAGCTTCAAATTTAGAAGAAGGAGCTAACTGGGATTGTAGCTATGCTGTAGATACCTTTATCAATAAGATACTCATTCTTTCATTCATTCAATTTATTTATTATACTTACTGTGTGCTAGGCACTATTCTAGGTAGTGACCAAAACAAAACCCTTGTTCTTAAGGGATTTAACATTCCAATGGAGGGAAATAGATAGTAGACAACTATGTGATGGGTCAGATTGGGGTAAGTGCTGATAAACTCTAACCTGTTTTATTTTAGCTTGACATTTCACTAATGTATTTTACTATGGAATGTTCTATACAACACAATGTGAAAAACATTAGAATAATAGAATTTCAAGTCAGCAATGTATTATTTATGTGATCTTGCTAGTTTTTGTTTAGAGAAAGATATTATGTACAGAGACCTTATTACTCTCTATATATAATTTTATCAATAGGAAACTGTGGAGATATAAATTTGGTACGACTGGGGCCAGAAAAGTCTATTAATAATGAAGTCCTAAAATTCAGTTTGGACAGCCAAGTTAACCACAGAATGAGTAAGTACTGAATGAGGTACCAACTAGGAATATCTCTTATTTTCTCTTGTTACGGTATATGGTGACTTGGACGTGAAAGGTAATTTGGGCACCCTAGAGATGGGCTCCCACTGCCATCGAGTCAAATGCCTAAGACACTTGACTGCTAACCAGAAGGCTGGCAGTTCAAACCCACCAGCCACTTCTCGGAAGGAAGGTTGGACAGTCTACTTCCATAGTGATACTGCCTTGGAAACCCAAGGAGGGGTTACTATGAGTGAGGTCTGACTCGACGGCAAATAACAACAAGAGATGGGCTCATGCATAGCAAGGATTGTGAGGATGGCATAGGACTGGGCAGTGTTTTCTTCTGTTGTACATAGGGTTGCTATGAGTCAAAATCAACTTGATGACACCTAACAAGAAGAAGACAATAGTCTAGCTTTGGGATCTAGTTTTTCTTTTCATTGTATGAGCATGTGTGTGTGAATTTGTTGGAATCAGCATATAGTTGTTTGTTTTTTTTAATATTTTTAGAAAAAGAGTTACCTTTCCATGTTCAGGAGATGCATAGAAGAAAAGAATTTCTAGATCATCAACTAGATGAACTTTCTCGCCAGCGTGCTTTGTGCCGAGGTGGAAGGGAAATACAGGTATATACATGTTTCTTGATTAATGTTCTTTAAATACTGACTCAGGTACAGAAATGTGTTGATACCATACTTTTGTTGGATAATACCGTAATTCATTTATAAAAGTGTGTATTACCAATAAAAGTGGTATATCTTACATCAGGGATTAACAGAATTTTTGTAAAGGTCAAGATAGTAAGTTTTTTAGGCTTTGCAGGCCATAGTCCTCTGTTGGAACCACTCAGCTCTGCTGTTGTAGCATGAAAGCAGCCCTAGGTAGTACATGGATGTGTCTGGTTTCAATAACAATTTATTTACAAAAATAGACAGCAGATTGCATTGGGCTCATAGACTATAGTTTTCTGATCTCTGCTTTATATTAAAGCTATACAGAATTTGTCCTCTTTCAGTTACAAGTTAAATCCAGTTCAAATTAGGTTGGACAAAAAGGGTATTGCGGTGTAGTAAATTACCTGGTATGGCTTTTCTAGCCATAAGTCTTGGTAAACTCGAGTTTGCTGTGAGCAACTGAGAAGCTCCTGATTGTTAAATGTATCCACCTGGGGTATTTCTGTTGGGAGTGGCACAAAGCTATGTTCTGGGAAGTTCGCTCGCTCTCAGGTGCTTAGAATTATGTTGTTATGGTTGGTTAGTTTGGCCACTCTGCCAGGCTCAAAAGGAGCCCTCCTAGAGGTAAAAAGGAGTCTCTCTGACTGCTGGCTGAGAAAGACGTGCTGCTGAGAGACACGCGCTCCTGAGAGAGACATGCTGCTGAGGAGACACCAAGAGACATGCATTGCTGGGAGAGAGACTGTTGGCTGAGAGATGGCAAGCTGAGAGAGACTGACCATTGTCCCTGAACTTGAATTGTAGCCTGGTGCTTCCTTAATAAACCCCATAATCTGTGAGTTCTCTGTGGGCACTGCAGCAAATTATCAAACCCAGCAGAAAGATGGTGGGTGCTGCGGGAGGAACAGTTGGTGTCAGGGTTGGTGAAAGGGCTGGAGGGGGGCAGCATGTTTGGCCTCACAGGAATAGGCCTTGGGCTATTGATGGTGATTTTGTCTTCCTTTTGTGGGGTTAGAGGAGGTCAGAAGATGTGGCCTCCTTGCCTCTTTGGCAGGTATTTATTGGCACATACAGTTGGAAAGTCCAGGAGTGGGCTAGCTTTAGTACGACTGGATCCAAAGGCTCAAATGATGTCACTTCTCCACCCCTTAACTAGCTTTTCTCTGTGTGTCAGCTGTTTTTTTCCTCCAGGAGAAGATGAGTGCCAGCATCTCTATGTTCTACCATCCTAGCTTATAAACACCAGAGGAAGAGAAGTTTTCTCTCTTCACATCCATTTATCACTTCTAGCTCTCATTATTCCAGGGGTGGGTAAGCAGGTCCAGCCTCTGTTTTTGAAGGAAAGCCTGACCTGTATTATATGCCCTTCACTCTGGGTGTAGGGAAGGTTGGAGTGTGATTGACAACTTCATTTGAACCACTCCCAAGAGTTGGAATGCTAAGCAAACAAATCATATCACTAAATCTAATCCACTAGGCCTGAGTCTTAATGAAATGATACAGAAAGTGTTTCAGGACTTTACTATAAAGAGAAAATAAGCTGTGTTTTCTTAAGCTTTTCATTGATCCATAAGAAAGCATTTAAAAATGCTTAGTTTACTTTAAATGATAATGACATCCTAATTTTTTCCAGAGACAAGAATTTGATGAAAAAATTGCCACCGTTTCAAAAGAAAGGCAAGAACTTGCTTCTCAAATTAAAGAGGTAAGTAGTTCACATACAGAATTTTCTTATTTATTTTTTAAAAATTAGGAAGTGAGTTAGACAACCTATGTACTTTTCTCAATTACATTTTTAAAACTTTTTGTTAATGAAAAATTTGAAACCAAGTGGAAAATGGTGTAATTACATTTATATTACTGTCTTTAACTTACTCTAATGACTTCTTAGCACCACCTGAGATTTATAAGAAAGAGATGATTATAATTTATCTTTTTCCTGTGTTAAGTCTAGGTAAGTTATTTTTTTGTTTTTTTGCAGTTCTTAGCTTAAAGCATAAATTCTTATATTCTGATTTTAAGAATCCTGTAACATGTCTAACTTTCCCCCCAGTATTCTTTGGATGTAAAAAATAGCAAAAATAAGATTTAGACTGATTGAAGCTAGGATGAGCCAGACATACTTTCTGGTCACCTGAATGCTACTCTAAGCAAAACAAGGAGAGGTGAGGGAAAAAAGGGTAATATTAACTGGTAATGTCAGCAGTATTTTTTTTTTTTATTGTGATTTGGTGAAGGTTTACATAGCAAATTCACTTTCCATACAGCAGATCACATACACTTTGTCTCATGACATTGACCACAGTTAACCACAGTGCAACAGCTCCCCTCCCACTTCCTCCCCATAGTTACCTCTTTCCTGTGTCCATCCCTCCATGCACTCCTGCCCCCTGAGCTGTCTCCCTGTGCATAAGCAGCCCTTCTTTCTCCCATGATTGTTCTCTCCAAGGAGT